ACCGTTTATTGGAGAGATTATCTTTTCCTCATTATGTGTTCTTGGCACCTTTGTCAAAGATTGATTGACTGTTAACGAATGGATTTATTTCTGAGCTTGCTGTTGTGTTCCATTGGTCTATATGTCTGTTGTAATGCCAGTACCATGCTGTTTTGATTACTTTATCTTTGAATGAAGGTTGTGATCTTAGCTGTATTTGTTTGCAAGCAACTGTGCATCTAAATCTCACAAGATTTCTTACACTAGATATGAATTTGGTCATAACAAGAAACCAAGTATGAATGGTGCAGCATAATTATTTTATTCTTAAAAAACAAATCAAAATATATTTCTTTTTTTTTTTTTTTTTTTTTTTTGAGGCGGAGTCTTCACTCTGTTGCCCAGGCTGGAGTGCAGTGGCACCATCTCGGCTCATTGCAAGCTCCGCCTCCCGGGTTCACGCCATTCTCCGGCCTCAGCCTCCCGAGTAGCTGGGACTACAGGCGCCCGCCACCGCGCCCGGCTAATTTTTTGTATTTTAGTAGAGACGGGGTTTCACCGTGTTAGCCAGGATGGTCTTGATCTCCTGACCTCGTGATCCGCCCGCCTCGGCCTCCCAAAGTGCAGGGACTACAGGTGTGAGCCACCGCGCCCAGCCCAAAATATATTTCTTATATGTGGTAGTTCATATACAAAGAACTCTGTATTATTTGTTGCTATATTCAATTCCTTTAGTGTTTGGCATGATGTAATAGTGCAATGAATATGTCTCTAAAATCATCCACTGAAAAGAGAATTATATTTTGTAAACTTCCTTTTGATCTTCGAATACTATTTGAAATAACTAGCTACTAAGAGTTGAAATTCATTAATTTGAATGAAATCATTAAATGATTATATTTCATTAAGATTTAATTTTTACTGAAGCCAGAGCAACTTTATATACAAAAGATTATTTCAAAGTCTTCTGGTGCTTTGGAACTTATTTCAGAGCATCTGCCAACTTCTGATTCAGAATGTTATATAATCTGTGTGCATATTACCAAGACATGTGATTGAATATTATTTGTCTTCTTTTTCCATACTTTTGCTTTCTGGTTCAGTTTTGGAGCCTTTCATTCATAAATATTCTATAATCAGAATTTATTTTATTTGAAAAACACCTTAAAAACTACCTATCTCGTCAACTGTCTAATGTGTACGGTATGTTTGACAAATGTTCATTCAAACTGTGCTTAAACTTTTGGAGACTGATAATTCCCACTTTTTTGAAATATCTCAATATAAAGATCTTACCTAACATACATCTTCTCTTGCCTAGTCTTAAAACATTAGTTCCTTTTCTGTTTTTTTGCTAAATAGTTTCCAGTTTCCTCACCATATTCATTTCAGTTTGAATACCTACTAGGATCCATTTGCATAGGGTATAACCTGTATATTTGAGAATCACACAAACATGGCTTAAAGTCCTATTTCCAGCATAGTACCCGTGATCTTGGGAAAATTGCTTAACTTCCCGAATATTAATTTTTGCATCTGTAAATGATACTAGCAGCAAATATAGAGGCTATTGTGAGGACTAAGTTAAAAAGTGTCCAAAATATTCTGTAAAATACTCTCGTAATTTAACATATTTTCATTTCCTTCTCTGATTTCCTATGTTTACTAACAGATCAATACCATCTCTTCAAATGTTCTAGATACTGCTAAGTAACACGAAGATTGCTTCAGCTTTCTGGCAGTCTTTTGGGCTATTTACTCACAAGATTCTATCAAGAAAAAATTAAATCATTTTTGTACAAGAAATGCTAGCCTTCCTATCAATACCATATGTATATTTGGGCCCAGCTGGTTAAGCCATGTCTTAGAAATTTATTGAGTCAGCCAGTGTGTTACCCAGGCTCCCAAATTTGTCTGTTGCCAACTTGATTATCACTTCCCATGAATCAGTGACAAAACACTGAAACAAAGTAGGACAGGAGCAGACTCAAACCAGGCTACTAAGAAACTATGCACTAACTCATTACTTGGCACACTTCATTCATACAACTGCTTCCAATTCATCTCACGTTACCAGGATCTAACGGATATTTCTCTAGTGTCAGATATTTCTCTAGCCGTCTGTGAGTTGCCTTACAGGAAGAGGGCTAAAATCCAAAGAGCAAATCAGTAGGTGAAAAAAAAAAAAAATGGAATTGGAGATGATGAGACAGAAAAGCAGGAGGATTCTGAGTGATTACTATGAATGAAGAAATGGAAGTATTAATAGTTTTGCTTTGTGTGTAAATGGAGTTGTCTGAACTTACGGAAAAGGCAGACACAGAATCAACATATAACATTTGCTCATGTTTTTGTGTTATTTTAGTTTTTTACTTTAATCTGTCAAATAGTTTTTGGTAAACTCTGTTGGATGCTTGTTTTTCTTCTTCCTCTGCAGAAGCTCAAATATTCATATGTGCTATGCAATTTCATTCAGGATCAGTATTAACCCAGTTTTAAAAATTCACCTTTGCCCTCCTTTTGAATGCTGAGACTCATTTGCTGACTTCTGGAGTTGCAGCCTTGTCTCATTATTTCCCAAAAATCATTGATAATATCACATGCAATTTTCCTTATAACACTGGAATATAGTTTGTGTGAGAAAACTTGAACTAAAGAAGTTAGTTGTCTTCTTATGATTCCTTACTCATTTGGAGCTCAGATTTCTTATAGGTCAATGTATCTCTTTGGTTCAAAAATTATTCTTTCTACTGATTAACCAAATATGAATTTAGATGCTTCACTTCTTTTTAATTTCATAAAAATTAGCACCTTAGTGGTGTGTGCCTACCCTATTTCAAATTTATCATCTGTATATTTTTAAGATAAATCATAACAAAATTATTACTCTTCTAGAAACAGTAATTCTTCTTAGAAACTCAGTACAAGTAAGTTTTATAAAACTTGTGCAATTTTTTTTTTTTTAATTTAAAAGTTTTTAAAACTTTGTGTGGCTATTGATTGTACTTAGAGTAACCCATATTTGCATGATTAGGGAAGTACAAAAGCTTAAAAATTAACCACTTCACTGGTAACGTAGAAAAGCAAGTTGATAACGGACTGAGTCACTTCTTCTTGTAGGCAACTGCTAACATGAGGAATAGGTTTTTAAAAATTTAATTTCTGGGCCGGGGGCGGTGGCTCAAGCCTGTAATCCCAGCACTTTGGGAGGCCGAGACGGGCGGATCACGAGGTCAGGAGATCAGGACCATCCTGGCTAACACGGTGAAACCCCGTCTCTACTAAAAAATACAAAAAACTAGCCGGGCAAGGTGGTGGGCGCCTGTAGTCCCAGCTACTCGGGAGGCTGAGGCAGGAGAATGGCATGAACCCGGGAGGCGGAGCTTGCAGTGAGCTGAGATCCGGCCACTGCACTCCAGCCTGGGCGACAGAGTGAGACTCCGTCTCAAAAAATAATAATAATAATAAAAATAAAAATTTAATTTCTTAGTTAAAAAAATGGGTTACTTAAAAGAGTGTTACTTGTCATGTATATGTTTTTTAAAATTCCTAGTTCTCTTTTATGTTTTGTCTCATAACTTATCCTTAAGCTGACCAAAATAATTCAAATGTGTTGAAAAGAATGTTATTTTATAGATCATAACACCATGACTCTATGGTCTGGTGGGATATGTGAATACAATGATGAGTATATTTCTTTCCTTTTAACTAACCAAATAAGGTTTTTGGGAATTCATGCTATATTAAAAACTATAAACATAAATAATGTTATAGTGTAAATAAAATAATGTTATAGTGTAAATAAAAATAAACACTGGCTTCTAAATAATATTTAATATATAGAAAAATTAATATTGAGATGATAAATGCTTTTTAGTATTTTTTGGTGAAACAGATTCAGGAATGTTATGTCCTGCCAAGATCACACAGCTATTGAGAGAAAGCAGAATTAAATAAAATCCATATCCTTTTCAATATAATTAAGTGCTTCAAATGGAAGATATACCAGTTTCTCTCTTCCCACTGTCTCCCAAAGTATGAAACCTGTCAATACCACCCAAACTCATATTATTTTAAGAAAGTGTTTCCAATTATTTTGATATTGGAATCCTTTAGACAATCTAGTTACAAAAACTGTGTACCCTTTCTTCAGAAAAATTTATGACTGCCCATTCACAAGCTGCATTTAAGTAGTAACGAGCTGGGTGGTTGTCTAAAATGCTAATGTAAGAGTGGCACTAAAATGACAGTAGAAATATGTTGAGATAGAAGAGATTGTCTTACAGGAATTTTTCTTAGAGATAATCTTATATATAACTGGAAGTTTTATTTTCAAAAGCCTCTTGGGATGGAAGAGGTGAACTAAAAAATTAGGGCTTCCTCTCACTCACATGTCACTTTGGTGTACATTCCTACTTTCAGGTGGATTCAGTTATTGGACTGCTTCAGACTCCAAATACAAACAGTTTTTACAAAACCACTTGTCGATTTGGCTGGGTTGGCTGGGTGCCATTGTTGCCATGTGATGGAGACCTTGCTCAAAGGCAGACACTCATGGAGCGCTATAGGACTATATAACTGCTTTCCCAAGAGGTTGCATCCAGTTAACAGCAAGGTTTAATTTTTACTGAAAGAAGTATGCTAGTGTTGTAGGGCTGTAATCCAGAATAAAAGATAAAGGATGACTGTTGCTCCCAGTGTCCCCATTTCTTTACTTTTCCTAAAGCAAAGTGATCTGCTCCAGTTCTAAAAACAATGCTGGACAGATAAATTGAGAATATATTGAGGAACACCAAGTCACCAGCCTACTCTGCTTTTGAAACTGTATGGGATGCTTAGGTGTCTTGGTCTGGTCCCCCATATTCATCACATATCTTCCACACATTTTCAGGGAATTTATAACCACTTGATGCTTATAGATGTTATTGCCTATGTCTTCATTAATTATTTATTCAGTGAGGACATACTTGATTTGTTTTATGCGACCACCAGAGCAGGCACCAGAGAAAAGACAAGTAGGCAAGGTAAAAAAGAAACTTTATTAGCTAGCCAATGTGAAGGAAGAAAGGGCGAAGTTCACCAGTCTCCGGCAGTGGAGGCCGAAGAAGTCGCTCCGGCGTTCTCGGGCGAGGTTCCTAGGTCCGCATATGAGGAGGGGCGGAGGAAGTTCGTGCTAGGCGCCTGCCGGGAGCGGCTTTTCTGTCTAAGGCTTGGGAGTGGGAGGGCAATAGGTGGGACACGGGCGTGTCGGGGGCGTTCCGTAGGTGCGGCCAGGTAAGTTTCGGCTTGCGCCATGTTGCGCCTACGCAGTTGGTCTGTATTGTTCCCCGGCACGGGCTGCATTTTCCCGTGCGCAGGTAAGTTGGTGATGAAGAACCCGGAAATGCGCCATCTTAGTCATCTTTGTCCTCTTCCCCCGTCCAGACAATACTGTGCCAGAAATTAAACCTGTTTACATAGGTACCCTCAATAACAAGTACAGTGGAATGATTACCATATTTGATAATATTACATTTGGGTTAAAATCTAGAATACTATAAAATTCACACAAAGCCATGATACATATTTTGAAAAAAACACAAAGAATTAGAAACTTCAGTTTGGTTAGCTCTCATTTGAGCTAGTATCAGTTGCTTCTATGGTATCAACAATCATTGTGCTTGACAAAGACATCAGCTTGAATTTTGCATGTCTCTGTACATTAACAATATCATCTCAATGACACATAATCATAAAATTAAATGCCTACAGTTTTCTATTGAATTACACACCTGTTGTTATACACCATGTTGCTTTGGTAAACATGGAAATCTATTGATTTTATATGTTCCATTTTTCTACTGAGTAGATGATCCTTTTATAAATCAAAATGTATTTTAATAGAAAGAAAAAACACTACAAATATCTTTGGGCCTATAGAATTCTCTTGGTATCGGGGAAATTGAGTGATTCATTCTGAACTTGTACATATTTCATTGCTGAATACTTATCAATGATAAAAAGCTGAAAGATTACAAAAGATTGTATCATCCAGATAGAGAATGTGTTTTTGTCACCAAGAGCCTTAAAAGTCACTTCTGAAGAGTGTTAATCATATGGAATTCTTTATATACAAACCAGTGAAAGTAGAAAATCCATAACCTATTTATATGATTAAAATATTAAATATAAACATGTATGTGTATTAAATATATGTATGATATGTTGATAAGGCAAATCCTACTATTTTATGAAAAATAAAAGAGGTCATGAGGTTATTTAATGTTGGAGTGTTTGAAAAAATATTTATAATAACACTTTTGTTTAGATCTCTTTGTATACAAAGTTTGTCCTTATATATATGCTTATTTCTTCTCAGAATATTATTATTTTATCTGATTTATATATAGTTATAATCTATGCTGCTTTTAGGTTTATCAAAGAGAATTCTAATATATGTGACTTTCATTTCATCACTTATCCAAGGGTAAATGAAAATCACAAATCAGATACAATCTATAATACTTTTGTCAGTTTAAAAATGTAAAATAATAGCACATGTAGTGGTACTATTATTTGTGTTACACTTGAGTTGCACTGCAGCATTCTTTTCTTTAAAAATTCAGTAATGTATTTAAAAATGTACATGTGCTGCCACAATATTTTCCCATGGTTAATTATTCATGTGATAGCCTAGTATCTCGCCTTTTTTGTTCACTGTATATTAGTACTCCAAGTAAGGATTTTTTCTGCCTTAAGCAGCATTCCAGTTTGGTCCATATAATACTAGGATTATTGGTATCAACACCTGTCCTTCCCTTAAATTTAGGGAATTTAAGCCAATAAGCTACTCCCGCAGAAATTTGAAATTAGGAGCAAAGAAACTTTGGCGATATATATGTGGGTCCTGGAAATGTTAAATCATGTAGAGATGGAGCTGGAACAGCCCTTTTCAGGCATGCGTATAAATGTTAAGTTAATAGAGAAAACAGTCATCAAACGGAATCAAAAGGATAGTTTGAATTCATAGAGAGAAAGGGTCAACAGACTGTTGTGGACTAGAGAAACAATGGTACTGAAATCAGTTTGTTTCACTTTACAGAAACCAATTGCTAAATTTTCAGGAATTTTTGCATCTGGGGTGGCTTCAAGTGGTCAAGTGACTTGAAATCAGTCGTAGTGATGTACTTACACCATGGAACTTAGAGGATGCTCCAAATCAGGGCCTCCTGTCCCTGAGAGTTGTTAAACATTGAGCAGCATAGACTGCCAGAGAGGCAGAGAGAGAGAGAGAGAGAGAGAGAGAGAGAGAGAGAGAGAGAGAGAGATCTCCTGAGTAGTTTCTCTGATCCTTGACAGATTCCCAGTTCCCAGCACTAAATCCGTGAGAACCAGCAATGCTTTATTTCTATGGAATTCATTTGTATCCTGTTAATAAACCAATATTTATGTTCTGCTCATTTAGTTCCCACAAAAAAATTAACCAATTGCTGCAATTCTAATCAATGTAATTGGATGCAAGAAAACAGGATTGTAACTTATCATATACATGTGAAGTGCTTTATATGTATATGCCGAAGTCTGTTTCTTTATTGACCCCGTATAGTTTAGAATCAATCCCAAATAACATTTAATGTCAACTATGTTGACACCATAGCGAGACATCTTTTTCCATATGCATTTTAGTGTTAATCTGATCATCACCAAGAGGAAAATTAGGGAGGAAAAAAGACAATAAATTCAGTATCTTAAAAGATAAATTTGAGTATTTTATTAAGGATTTTGCATTTTTAAATATAGAGTTGTGATCAATTTTGGCCATCACAGGCATGCGGAAAAGTTTGCCCGGAATGATTAGAGAGGCATTCTGTTTAAAAATAAATAAATAAATAAATAAATAAATAAATAAATAAATAAATTTAAAAAGTAAGATGTTAACCTGGATTACCTTTCTCAATTTTTTCTTAGTCTTGCTTTCACCACTTACTCTAATATCTTTAAGATTAGAGCGAGGTTAATAAATACCTTGTCACAAATTACCTTAAGCAGACTCACTGGTGGATGTTATTTTGAAGACAGGCAGCCACTCTTCCTTGTGTCTATCCCATCCCAACCTCGGCGGAGCTTCTAGATATAGAAAAATGCAAAATTCAGTGATTCTGAGACAGTCCCACTCATCTTGGCAAGATAAATGCTGCAATGTGTGCTTAACCCTAAGAATTACTAAAGCCTAGTAACAGCCACAGGGGATGCTTCTGCCTGTCATTATTGACCTCAGACATTTTAAGGTTAGGTATCAAATGCCAGCAAGGGGCATGAGCAGTTCCAGATCTTTTTTTTGACTTGCTAGAAGCATAATTACTAAAATACAGTGACTGGCCCACTTTTTTTAAGGCCTCACAAATTTTAATTGGGAGCAGCTTGACCCCCCAAGTACCAAAGGAAGGATTTTACCTCATAGCAAAAAAATCAAGCAATATTACTTAGAGAAATGCAGGATATCATAAAGGACTCTTACAAACATACATGCCTTTGGGCTATCAGATTTAAAGACAGAAGAAACTAATGCCCTGCTTGTTTTGTGTTTGTTTAGGAAATGCCACTAGAAGGCACATTGTTTTCCTCTTTGAACTAAATGTCTTAAGCTGTTTCAAGACAGGCATTAACCTTTAGCTAAGAAAGAATTTATTTAGGATATATATTGAAACACGCTTCTATTGATTGTTTCTGGCATATTGCATTAAGTACAGAATATTTTTATAGAAGAAGCTCACTCAGTTCAACAAGGCTGTTTTTTTCCTCCAGTTATGCTAATATGAAATTGAAATATTCTACTACCATATAAATAAATAGAAATATTTCTATAAAATTTAAGATCACATCTGTCATCACTATATGTATTTTGGATTTCTTTTTCCCTGGAATGCAAGAATAAGTGCAGATATTCATTGAGAGGAAACATGGAGCTGTTTTGATTTGTCTCTGGCTTGTAACAATTAGAGCAAATTATTTTTTGGTATCTTAATTTTTCTAAATTTAGAATAGTTACCAGATTATTCTCTCCTGCTTCCAAGAGAAATAGAAAAATGACTAAAAATTCTTAGAATTATGTGGATAAATTTATAAATGATTGAAATAAAATAAATATTTTCAGACAATAATACTCAAACAGGTGTTTGATTATTAATTAAATTACAGGTTGCTGACTAAATAGCCCAGAAGATAGTCTCAAAAACACACACACCTTTCTTTCACTGAATTTCAAACCTAGTTTTAAATGCTTTCAGATTGTTTTAGAGTATTCCTTTTATTGTAAAAGGACAAAAGTAAAGACCATTGATGTAGTTTGTCTTTGTAGAAGACTGAGAAATGGCTTCAATCAGAGACACACATCCCACTGTGCTTTGGTTTAGTGAATAGATTACAAAATGAGACTTATTCAAGATCAAATGGCAAGGAGGCTAGCGTTCAAGCCTGTGATTACAAGACAAAAGCCTATCTTGATGCAGATATGCGATTTCCTACTACTTTAGAAGGCAATTTGTTAGCCTTCACAGTATTGCTGGGTTCTTAAACATTTGGAAAGTTACTGCAGTTTCTTTCCTTGACCTAGGCTTGGGACTTATCGATTTAGACCTACTGGCCATATTAACAAGTTATTACCCCCACCCGATTCTAACGGCCAGGGGATTGTAGTTCTCTAGAATCAGAATCCACAACACGGAACTGGCAGCTTGGAGCACAGCCCAGGATAGCTAACTCCAGGTGTGAGGCTTCAGCCCGCATTCTCCCAGTGCAGAAGAAAACAGTAATTTTCCCACTTTTCTGAACAGCAGTTTCAATCCAACAAGCAAAATGAAAAAGTAAAATTTATCCAAGACTTCTTGGCATTTAGCACAAATGACAATATAACTCCACAAAACTACCTCCAAATAATCACATGAAGAAGCATAGTAAGAAACAATTTATAAATGTGTCACTACTAAATAGTTTTCTCCTAGGATTTTAGATATGCCACACCAAAAGATGACAAATTAATTCCCATTACACTCAAATAACTGCTACTAGGTTCTTATGAATGTTACATTTGTTCTCCTTTGTACTCTGCACTAAGGAATGATGGAAAATCAGAGACTTTACCTGTGTTAAAAAAAAAAAAGGATTTGAAGTAGTAATACAGGAGAACATAATTAAATTCATTTGAACTAAAACTAGCTTATTAATTCAGTTCTGCAGATGTTTAAATGATCAATATTAGTTTATTAAAAACCACTACAGTAAGAACATAAAGAGGATGGACCAATGGAAGGAGGCAAAGGGAGAAGGCAAAAAAAAAAAAAAAAGAAAAAGAAAAAGGAAAACACTTAAATCTAATTGGGAAACGAAAGAAAAAATTAAAACTTAAGCATACAATAATAAACAAGGAAAAAGACTGCAGGGTAGGGAGAAATAACTTTTTCTCACCCATCCTAGATTCATGACTGAGGTCCCTAGAACAAAAAACAGATTAACAAGAGAAAAACATACAAATTCATTTAATAGGTTTTACATGACACAGAAGCCTTCTTAAGGAAATAAAGACCCAAGCAATAGTTAAACTTGTGTATTTTTATGTTAAGTTTGCTAAGAGTGGACAGCAGTCAGGGAGAAATGTAATTGTACAAAGGGATATGATCTAATGGTAATAAACTGGGAGGGAACTTTGCAAGACCTTTACTCTGTACTTCTGTGTCTTCACTGATAAGGATGTTCCTTTCCTCCAGGTAGAGGGAGGACACCTCTCAAATGAAGCTCTTATGATCTTCTTCAAGGGATGTTCAGGAAATTCTTCCAAGGTTTTATGACCTGCTTCATGGGAAAAGGGCTGGGGCAAGAGAATGAACTTCCTGGCTGGGCACGGTGGCTAACGCCTCTAATCTCAGCACTTTGGGAGGCCAAGGCGGTCAGATCATCTGAGGTCAGGAGTTCCGATACCAGCCTGGTCAACATGGCGAAACCCCGTCTCTACTAAAAATACAAAAATTAGCTGAGCGCGGTGGTGCATGCCTGTAGTTCCAGCTACTTAGGAGGCTGACACTGGAGAATCATTTGAACCTGGGAGGCGGAGGTGAGCCAAAATCGCCCCTCTGCACTCCAACCTGGGTGACAGAGCAAGACTCTGAAAAAAAAAAAAAAAAAGAATGAACTTCCTGCTTCTCCTGTTTTCTCAAATTCTTTAGCTTCCTGGGTGCCATATTTGGAAATAGTGTGTCCTGAATCCCATCAGGACAATTCTGTGGTGATCTGGATGAAAGAGCTGTGAAATTCAATATTTAATTTTTTTTTAATTTTAGTAGCTTTAGGAGTACAAACGACTTTTAGTTACATAGATGTATAGACATGAAGTCTGGGCTTTTAGTGCACCTATCACCTGAGTAGTGTACACTGTACCCAGTAGGTCGTTTTTCATCTCTCGTCCCCCTCTCAACCTCGCCCCTTCTGAGTCTCCAGTGTCCGTTATACCACTCTATATGTCTTTGCATACCCGTAGCTCAGCTCCTACTTACAAGTGAGAACATGCAGTATTTGGTTTCTGATTCCTGAGTTACTTCACCTAAAATAATGCTCTCCAGTACCATGCAAGTTGCTGCAAAAGGCGTGATTTTATTCTTTTTGTGGCTGAGTAGAATTCTATGGTATATATGTACCATATTTATCAATTGATGGGCAATTAGACTGAATCCGTATATTTACACTTGTAAATTATGCTGTTATAAACACATGCATGCTAGTGTCTTTTTGACATTGTGACTTCTTTTCCTTTCGGTAGGGACCAGTAGTGGGATTGCTGGGTCGAATGTTGGATCTACTTTTAGCTTTTAGTTTTCTCTTAGGCCTATCTGTTCGATTATAATACTGGATATTTAGCTTTTTGGGCATAGAAACATTCTAAACTCTAGACACTGAAAAATGTACATTTTGGGTTTTTTTTTGTTTTTTTTTTTTGGAGACAGTATGTCACTCTGTTGCCCTGTCACCTATACTGGAGTTCAGTAGCACGATCTCAGCTCACTGCAACCTCCACCTCCCGGATTCAAGTGATTCTCATGTGTCAACCTCTTGAGTAGCTGGAACCGCAGGCACAGAGCCACCATGCCTGGCTAATTTTGGTATTTTTAGTAGAGAGAGGGTTTTGCTATGTATGTTAGCCAGGCTAGTCTTGAACTTCTGGCCTCAACTGATCTGCCCAACTGCCCAAAGTGGTAGGATTACAGGCCACCACCGGTGCCTGACCCTATTTTTAGGTATTTTTACACTTTTCTTTCTTCTACTACCTGAATTTTTATGTCTTTTGTGTTTTTTTGGGTTTTTTTTTTTTGTGAGACAAGGTCTCCCTTTGTCACCCAGGCTGAAGTGCAGTGGTGTGACCTCAGCTCTCTGCATCCTTTGCCTCCTAGACTCTAATGATTCTCCCACCTCAGACTCCCAAATGGCTGGGACTACAGGTGTGCACCACCACACCCAGCTGATTAATGTATTTTTTGTAGAGATGGGATTTCATCATGTTGCCCAAGCTGGTTTAGAAGTGCCCATCTTGGCCTCTGAAAGTGCTGGGATTATAGGCGTGAGCCACCGTACCCAACCCAGTCCTCATTAGAATCACCTGTCTATAATAACAGAGACATCACTTCCTTTGTGTAAAAAGTACAGTAGTGGGGCCAGACGCAGTGGCTCATGCTTGTAATCCCAGCACTTTGGGAGGCCGAGGCGGGTGGATCACAAGCTCAGGAGATCGAGACCATCCTGGCTAACGTGGTGAAACCCCGTCTCTACCAAGAACACATGAAAAAATTAGCCAGGCGTGGTGGTGGGCACCTGTAGTCCCAGCTACCTGGGAGGCTGAGGCAGGAGAATGGCGTGAACCCAGGAGGCGGAGCTTGCAGTGAGGAAAAAAAAAAAAAGTAACAGTGGTAAATTCTGTGTTAATTATGTGCATTACTGTTAAAAACAATTTTTTCTAACACTTGTTAAAACAGTAAGGCAGACTTTATTCAGGATTATAGTAATAGGTGTAGGAATACTGCAGTGGAGTTTTGCAGTAGGGGAGAGAGACTGGGCTCAACTCTATAGA